TTGTTTTACATTTGAAAACGTGTAAAAAAAACTTTTATCTAATTTTTTTTTGTTAAACAGTGGACCCCCCCGCATAACGCTATTAATAATCCGTTCCTGAGAGGCTCAATGTTTGCAAATTATCGTTAATGCGAATTAATTTCCCCATAAGAAATAATGGAAATCAAATTAATTCGTGCAAAGAACAAACCCCAAAAGTATGAAAAAAAAAATTTTTTGCCGACATGAAATATTCAATTTTAATACACACCAAACTTAAGAAAACATGCACAGTTACATAACTTACCTTTGTTGAAGATGTTGATGATTGATGGATGGGAGAGGGGAGACGGATGGTTTTTAGTGTTTAGAAGAAGAATCCCCTCCATAGGAACTTGAGTGTCCAAGTCCTTTTTCCGGGGTTGCTTCCCTTTCTTCTTTTAAGTGCCCTAGACCAGCTTACAGATTCCCTGGAACTTCTGTCGCACAACATATCTTCGTCATAGTGGCCTGTACTCTCGGTCCTTTATGACTTTCCTAAGTGTTTTTTTCACAACATGACGTGGTAATAGTCACCAGCACGGCTTGCAATAGCTGTCTGAGGGTGATTTTCATCATGAAGTTCACTTCAAGCCACTGTTGCTCAGATTTCCTTAATCTTTGAAGTAGGCAACTTCTTCAGTTTCTCTCCCCTCCTCCAAAACGAATTTCCTCAGTGTGGGCCTCTGCTGTTGAAGTTGATCTAGCAGCTCATCAGTGTTAGTTCACTCATTGTCCTCCTCCACCAACTCTTCCACATCCTCCCCACTAACCTCCAACCCTCAAGGACTTCCCCAATGCCACAATTGTTCCTCAACTGGCATAGGAATTCTCAGGGGTAGCCTCAAATCCTTCAAATCCCTTTTGTCTACACATTCTGGCCACAGTTTCTTCCAAGCAGAGTTCAAGTCTGCTAGTCACTCCTCCCAAAGCCTACCTATAAGTTTACACAATTGAGGATATAACGTGCTCTCCTCCAAAACTCTCATAGAGTCAGTTGAGTGTCAGAGGTCTCTACAAAGCACCTTTTTCAAACAGAGCTTTTTGTGTACAGTTTTTTAAAGTGCAATAACCTGCTGGTCCATGGGCTGCAGGAGAGGATGGTATTAGAGGCAAAAACTTCAGACCTTAATGATGCTCATGTCCCCGCAAAGTCCGCTCTCCAATCTGTATGATGACCAGGGGCATTGTCTAACACCATGAGGCACTTATAGGTCTAATTCATCTTTGCACACCCACCTTTCTGCCCAATGTCGCTTATATCTCGCCCGAACTTTCTCCCCCTTAGTTTATACACTTTACCTCCCTCTTATTTTGTTTTTTTCCCCCTTTCCCTCTTTCCCACTACCTCTTACTCTAACTGTACTCAACAAAATAATGACCCGATATATCATTGCCCCTCTATAAACATGTACACCTGGAGCCTACCCATCAACCTTTTATCCACCAATACAAAAACTAATAAACTACTTTCATTACGTGTTTACAACTACCTTGTATATTTATTTATCCTCTTTTTCATAAAATATGTATTACTTATTACCAAATTTCTTTCTACACATAGCTCAATTAAAGGCTCCCCATTTACATTTCCCCCTGGCCCCCCAAATTTTACCAAACTACTCCCTCCATAACATTTTTACCCACTTTAGCATTGAAATCCCCAACCACCATTACTCTCACACTTGATTCAAAACTCCCCACGCATTCACTCAACATTTCCCAAAATCTCTCTCTCTCCTCTACACTTCTCTCTTCTCCAGGTGCATACACGCTTATTATAACCCACTTTTCACACCCAATCTTTATTTTACTCCACATAACCCTTGAATTAATACATTTATAGTCCCTCTTTTCCTGCCATAGCTTATCCTTCAACATTATTGCTACTCCTTCTTTAGCTCTAACTCTATTTGAAACCCCTGACCTAATCCCATTTATTCCTCTCCACTGAAATTTCCCCCCCCCCTTCACTTTGTTTCACTTAAAGGGCCGGGACATCCAGTTCTTCTCATTCATAACATCCACAATAAATCTCTTTCTTATCATCTGCACAACATCCACGCACATTCAACTTCCCACTTTGAAAATTTTTCTTCTTCTTATTCTTTTTTAGTAATCTTTACAGGAAAAGGGTTACTAGCCCATTTTTCCCCGGCATTTTAGTTGACTTTTACAACAACGCATGGCTTACGGGGGGAAAGATTCTTATTCCACTTCCCCATGGATAAAAAAGGGAAAATTAATAAGACCAAGAACTATTAAGATAAATCAAAGAAAACTCAGATGAGTGTGTATGAATAAATGTGTATATGTATGTGTAGTGTGACCTAAGTGTAAGTAGAAGTAGCAAGACGTACCTGTAATCTTGCATATTTAAAGAACAGACAAAAGACATCAGCAATCCTACCATCATGTAAAACATTACAGGCCCTTTTGTTTTACACTCACTTGGCAGGACGGTAAATACCTCCCCGGGTGGTTGCTGTCTACCAAACCTACTACTCATATATATATATTATATATATTATATATATATATAAAATATAAATTGTGTGTGTGTGCAATGCAAGGAATTCGCGAGAGCATGCGATCAGTGTTTATATATGTATATATGCAGGGCCCCACTTATACGGCAGGTTAGGTTCCAGGCTACCGCCGTAAAGCGGAAACCGCCATAAAGTGGGAAACCCTTTTTTTCCACTTATAAATGCATACAAACACTAGATAACAAGTTTTTCACTAACATATATTAAGTTAGCAATAGAACCAGGCATCAAAAAACAATAAAAAAGTACAATACACACACAGTGCACTCATTACTTACCTTAAAATATTTATAGCCTTAATCTAGGGTGAGACAAGTAGTATTTATTGTAAGAAATCAAGTGTGGTATGTATGGTAATCAGCCAGGGTACCTTACCAGGCCACCCCACCCACACATACTATTCATGATATTAGCATCCCAGAGCGATAAAATTAAAATACAGTTCACTCATTACTTACCTTAAAATATAGGGTGAGATGAGTAGTATTTATTGTAAAAAGTCAAGTGTGGTATGTATGGTAGTCAGCCGGGCTACCATACCAGGTCAACACACCCACACATATATTCTATGATATTTAAGCATCCCAGAGCGATAAAATGTATATACAGTTCACTCATTACTTACCTTAAAAATTTTGTAGTTTAATGTAGGGTCAGGAGTAAGTAAAGAGATAAAACGAATAAATGAGAGAGAGAAAGAATGAGTACATGAGAGGGGACAGGCGCAGAGTTATGTAAACAAACCAGGCGAACGTAAGTTTTGTAAACAAACGAAGTGTACACGTCTGGTTTGTGTACAAGTTACATTGTGTACAGGTTGTCTCTACATTGATACGGTAGAATTAATAAAGAAGAACACTCCCATTCTCATGTAACATCATTTTGAGAAGAAATGAAGCTCTGAGTGAAGGCAATGGAAATAAGTCACACTGACTTTTTTGGGTTATCCTAGGTTCTCTACACATATGTTGTTATGTATGATAATCTATGTAACTGTATTTGTGTATACCTGAATAAACTTACATACATACGAAAGGAATAATTTTCTACAGTTAACCCTAGTAACACATTTTCTCTTATGTTAGATTAGAGAAAATGTTATTCTTGGCATCACTTGTACAAGTTATCTGGCTACCACATCTTATATTATGTTTATTTATTCTATTGTGGGGTGTATTTACATCTTTTTATGTTATGTATCGTGTTTATTATATAATTTTTAAAAAAATATCATGGATGGATTAATGAAAATGTGTATATTAACGTAATATACGACATTTAATGAGACTCGGTGAGTATTGTTATTATTATTATTATCATTTCTAATATGGCGTCACTTGTGCAAGTCGTCTGCTACCACATCTCACATTTATGTTTATTTATTCTACTGTGGGGTGTATTTATCTTATTTATATGTTATGCATCGTGTTTATTATATAATTTTAAAAAAAAATATCATAGATGGATTAATGAAAATTTGTATATTAACGTAATATACGACATTTAAATGACTCGATGATTATTATTATCATTACTAATATGACGTCTGGAGACATAAGACACTTACCGATTTTAATGTGTACCTGCATGCCAGCACAGTATGTAAGTTTATTTAGGTACAGGTATACATAAGTATAATTATCAGAGTATATATAAAATATGAAATAACTTTTAAAAACATTTGAAATTTTGAAGTTTCCAAAAAAATGGAGAGACTTAGTGCTTACTGAGCTCACGAAGAATGTAAACAAACAGGGTGGGCACGGTGACCGTATTAGAAAGTCAGGTGGGGGAGCCGTATAGCGAGTTTTGGTCATAATTTGAAATGACCATATTAGCGGAATGCCGTAAAGTGAAACGCCGTAAAGCGGGGCCCTCCTGTATATATATATATATATATATATATATATATATATATATATATATATAATATATATATATATATTCATATATATAAATATATACATATATATAAATATATTCATATATATAAATATATTCATATATATACAGTGGTACCCCGGATTTCGTCAATAATTTGTTCCAAAAGGCTGTTCGAGTGTCATTACCGAACGAATTTGTTCCCATAAGGATGAATGTAAATTAGATTAGTCCATTTCAGATCCCCAAAAATACACTTACAAAAGTACTTACAAAAATACACTTACATAATTGTTCGAGTTGGGAACTGTACGAAATCCGGGGTACCACTGTGTATGTGCATACATGCATGTGTAGTGTGACCTAAGTGCAAGTAGAAGTAGCAAGATATACCTGGTATCCTGCATGTTTATGAGACAAAGAGACACCAGCAATCCTACCATCATGTAAAACAGGTTTCCGTTTCACACTAGGCTGGACGGTAGTACCTCCCTGGGTGGTTGCTGAAGAGGTTATTTATATCCATTATTTTAAACTTCAGAACTATTACAGGTTCATCGTGACACTCAGAAATGTGCCTACAAATGCAGCTATGCTGTTGTTAATGGTGAAGGTGTGGAAGTATTCAAGCAGCCAGTCACTGACCCTGGAAAGACTAGCAAGAAGGGGCGTCTGGCTCTACACTATGTAAAGGGAAATACACCACTGTTGAGGGAGGAAGAGGTGATCCAAAAATGGTGAGTTTTTTTTTTTTTATGAAAATAGCTTAGCTATACTTTTGAGTGATTGTTACTTTAAATTGATTATATACATTGTTTATATTTTTATACAAATTTATGCTATAATTACATGGCCCCTTGATGTGCAATAATTGGTTCGAAAAGAGCTGTTCGATTCATTATTAAATACATCTATGTTCCTAAGGATGTTTACACAATTAGATTAGCCATTTCAGATCCCAAAAAAAAACAGTTAAAAAAGTATTAAAAAATACACATATGAAACCCCATAATTGTGGAGGTTGTGGACTGTACGAAATCCGTGGATTGTTATTACTTGTATTGCTTACATTGCATGTGTAGTATGTAGTCAGTGCCAAGAGAAGTTACAAGATATACCTTATCTGTGTTTATGGACAGAGCATCCACATCTTACCACATGTAAACGGTCCCTTCACACTAGGCATGGTGGTACTTCACCCTCCTGTGGGTGGTTGCTTGAAGAGCTATTTATACTCCCATTTATGTATACTTCCCCATGGGGGATCACCTCCACCATCCTGTATTACAGGTTTCCAATCGTGACGGTAGATCATGTTCCCACAATCTGTGATGGTTATCTTAATCTGTGAAGGTGGATATCTTCCACCAGTCCTGATTGGATACTCTTCAAGTGAGGGGGTCTGCTTTTCACCTATTGTGAATGGAGAATACACCACTTTTGAGGGATCGAAGTGGGGGATCTCTCCACATATGGTGATGTTTTTTTTTTTTTATGGTGATCAACCTTACCATACTTTGGGGGACTGTTACCTTGTAAATTGATTTATTACATTGTGAATGTTGGTATTTACATGGAGGGCCCCTTTTGTGATGGCTCTAGTTCACCACCCTTGAGTGGATAATCCAACAAATTTCCGGTGGTGGATCACTGTTCACATCTTATTGATCATCTAAAATCCTGATTAATCATTTTACACTTTGATGTTACTTTAAATTGTGGATGGTGGCACACCTCAACACTGTGGAAGGTGAATCATTTTCCCACATGTGATAGTGGATCCCCCATCATCTTGTGGGGATACTTTCACCACTCGCATGTGGATACTTGTAAATCCTGGGAGGGTGTATTTACCTTCATAAGTATTCTTTTCACATTGCGATGGTGGATATGTTCACGAGCCTAAGAGAGGTAATTTCCAGCACTCTGTATTGATCCTTTGTTGTGGATGGTGGATCACTCTTCCACCACTCCTGTGATGGTGGATCACTCTTCCACCACTCCTGTGGATGGTGGATCACTCTTCCACCACTCCTGTGATGGTGGATCACTCTTCCACCACTCCTGTGATGGTGGATCACTCTTCCACCACTCCTGTGATGGTGGATCACTCTTCCACCACTCCTGTGATGGTGGATCACTCTTCCACCACTCCTGTGATGGTGGATCACTCTTCCACCACTCCTGTGATGGTGGATCACTCTTCCACCACTCCTGTGATGGTGGATCACTCTTCCACCACTCCTGTGATGGTGGAACACTCTTCCACCACTCCTGTGATGGTGGAACACTTCCAAATTGTATTATCATTCCACCACTCCTGTGATGGTGGATCACTCTTCCACCACTCCTGTGATGGTGGATCACTCTTCCACCACTCCTGTGATGTGGATCACTCTTTCAAACCACTCCTGTGATGGTGGATCACTCTTTACCACTCCTGTGATGGTGGATCACTCTTTACCACTCCTGGGGATGGTGGATCACTCTTCCACCACTCCTGTGATGGTGGATCACTCTTTCCTCTGGGTCCCACCACACTCCTGTGATGGTGGATCACTCTTCCACCACTCCTGTGATGGTGGATCACTTTCCACCACTCCTGTGATGGTGGATCACTCTTCCACCACTCCTGTGGATGGTGGATCACTCTTCCACCACTCCTGTGATGGTGGATCACTCTTCCACCACTCCTGTGATGGTGGATCACTTCCACCACTCTGTGATGGTGGATCACTTCCACCACTCCTGTGATGGTGGATCACTCTTCCACCACTCCTGGGGATGGTGGATCACTCTTCCACCACTCCTGGGGATGGTGGAATCACTTTTCCACCACTCCTGTGATGGTGCACACTCTTCCACCACTCCTGTGATGTGATCACTTTCCACCACTCCTGTGGATGGTGGATCACTCTTCCACCACTCCTGTGGATGGTGGATCACTCTTCCACCACTCCTGTGATGGTGGATCACTCTTCCACCACTCCTGTGGATGGTGGATCACTCTTTAACCACTCCTGTGGATGGTGGATCACTCTTTCACCACTCCTGTGGATGGTGGATCACTCTTTCACCACTCCTGCGGATGGTGGATCACTCTTCCACCACTCCTGTGGATGGTGGATCACTCTTCCACCACTCCTGTGATGGTGGATCACTCTTCCACCACTCCTGTGATGGTGGATCACTCTTCCACCACTCCTGTGATGGTGGATCACTCTTCCACCACTCCTGTGATGGTGGATCACTCTTCCACCACTCCTGTGATGGTGGATCACTCTTCCACCACTCCTGTGATGGTGGATCACTTCCACCACTCCTGTGGATGGTGGATCACTCTTCCACCACTCCTGTGATGGTGGATCACTCTTCCACCACTCCTGTGATGGTGGATCACTCTTCCACCACTCCTGTGGATGGTGGATCACTCTTCCACCACTCCTGTGGATGGTGGATCACTCTTCCACCACTTCTGTGATGGATTGCACTGTGGAATGTGGTGGTATGCAATGAAAACTTCCCTACCATTATCTAAATACACCTACCATCTGGCTTACGACCTGCTCAACTACGACCACTCGACTTACGACCGTGTTTTTTTTTTTTTTTTTGCCAAATTTCTGGGAAACAAACAACTATTTGTGTTGTACAAGTGTTTTTCCTAAACCTTACAGTATAAAATACAGTACTAACAGCATAAAAAGTAAAGTAAAACATGAAATACCAAAATAAAACAATAAAATAAAGTCATTACAAAAATGTGATGTTGATATTCAGTAGTAAAGTTCGACTTACGTCTATTTCGACTTACGACAGGTTTCTCGGAACCGAACTCGGTCGTAAGTCAGATGGTAGGTGTACTGTTCACATATATATGCTTCAAATTGTAAACACTTGATCTACATATTCCTTACCCATTCTAAAGCCTCCTTGTTCATCTGCAATCCTGCCTTCTGTCTTGCTTCTAATTCTTTCAATAATAACCCTACTGTACATTTTACCTGGTATACTCAGTAAACTTTTTCCCCTATAATTTTTACGATCTCTTTTGTACCTCTTTCCCTTCGTATAAAGGAACTACACACGCTCTCTGCCAATCCCTAGGTACCTTCCCCTTTTTCATACAGTTATTAAACAAAGATACCAACCACTCCAATACTATATCCCCCCCTCCCTGCTTTTAACATTTCTGTCATGATCCCGTCAGTTGCACCTGCTTCACCCCCTGTCATTCTACATTATGCCTCGCACACCTCCTCCACACTCGCATCCTGCTCTTTTTCACTCCTAAAAGATGTTATACCTCCCTGGTCAGTGCATGAAATTACTGCCTCCCTTTCTTCATCGACATTTAACCCTTTGACTGTTTTGGTCGTATATATACATCTTACAAGCCAGTGTTTCGGACGTATTAATACGCATAAATTCTAGCAGCTTCAAATCAAGCTGGAGAAAACTGGTAGGCCCACATGTGAGAGAATGGGTCTGTATGGTCAGTGTGCACCACATAAAAAAATTCCTGCAGCACGCAGTGCATAATGAGAAAAAAAAAACTGATCTTTTTTTGGATTAAAATGCCGACTTTGAGGAGTATTTTCGTATGGTATTTATCGTTGTATTCTCATTTTCATGGTCTCACATGATAAAATGGAAAACATATTACAGAAACAGAGATGATTTTGATTAGTCTCACGATGAAAACGACCTTGAAATTGAGCTCAAAGTAGCGGAAATGTTCGATTTTTACCAATGTTCAGGAGTAAGCAAATCGCACCACACGTCCAATACACGTCAACTGGGGAGTCTAATATTTCTTCACTAGTGCACTGACATTATTTATACCATTTTTACAATAATGCAGTAGTCTGCATAACACCCTGGCTTCCTCCTCCCTTAGTTTATAAACTCTCACCTCTCTCTACTTGCTGTTGCCATTTTCCTTTTGTCCCATCTACCTCTTACTCTAACTGTAGCTACAACTAAATAATGATCTGATATATCCATTGCCCCTCTATAAACATGCACATTCTGAAGCCTACCTATCAAGCCTTTTATCCACCAATACATAATCTAACAAACTACTTTCATTATGTGCATATCATATCTTGTATACTTATCCTCTTTTTCATAAAATATGTATTACTTATTTCCAAACCTCTTTCTGCATACAGTTAAATTAAAGGCTTCCCCATTTTCATTTATCATTAGCAACCCAAATTTACCTGCTACTCCCTCCACAACATTTTTACCCACTTTTGCATTCAGATCCCCAACCACAAGTACTCACTTGCTTCAAGACTCCCCAAGCACTCATTCAACATTTCCCAAAATCTCTCTCTCTTCTCTACACATCTCTCTCCTCTAGGTGCATAAACACTTACCATAACCCACTTTTCACATCCAACCCTTATTTTACTCCACATACTCATTTAATTTATACATTTATATTCCCTCTTTTCCTGCCATAACTTATCCTTCAACATTATTGCTACTCCTTCCTTAGCTCTAACTCTATTAGAAACCCCTGACCTAATCCCATTTATTTCTCTCCATTGAAACACTCTTACCCCCTTCAGCTTTGTTTCACTTAGAGCCAGGACATCCAGCTTCTTTTCATTCATAACATCCACAATCATCTCTTTACATATTAATATAGTCCAGTAAAACCTCTCATTAACCAATTTTGTTTTTGAAGTATCAGACCAAGTCTTATACCTGTGACATTTATTTGGTA